CGGCCCGGAACCGCAGCCCCGCCCGCCCCGCCGCCTCCCGCTCCCGCCCCGCACCCCGCGCAGCTCCCGCCGCCGCTGCCAGCGCGGAGCCCAGGCAGGGTGGTGGGTTAAGAGAGTTTATTGTTAATACGAAAGAAGAACCCAAGAACAACGCTCAGGAATACACGTAAAGTCTCGTTCCAGAGACACGGCCGAGCTCCAGCACCGTCGGGGGCGACTGGAGCTCCACGCGAGGCAGGGCAACACCCGGCACCCAGGACACAGCAGCGCTTCCCCACGGAGGAGCTGCGGGCAGAACACGGCGCCGGGCAGGGTGGGTACCTGCATCCCACCCCCGGGTTTATTTAACCGTGAAGGAGTTACACCAGCATGAGCACCAGCAGGATCAGGCACAGATCCTTCAAACCACCCCCTTGCACACTGTCACCCTTATGTCCTATTTGGCCTCTTCCAAGGGGAAGCCTGAGACACGGGATTTCCTGCCAAAAAACATCCTGCACAACACAAGTTTGCTTGCAGTAGTGTGCAGCACAGCTGAGCTCTTCCTGTCCTGCCACTCGAGTGGGTCCCAAGTTCCAAACCTTATCCCAGCTCCGTGCCCACCCAGCTCCATGCCCACCCAGCTCCATGCCCAGCAGCTCCATGCCCAGCAGCTCAGGCTGCTCGTGAGCTGAAGCTGCAGGAGGGAGAGCCCAGAGCACTGGCCCCAAAAGCCACTTAGTATAGAATCACAGAATGGCTAAGGTTGGAAGGGACCTAAAAGATCATCCAGTTCCAACCCCCCTGCATGGGGGGTTGCTCCAACACCTCCCTCTAGATCAGGTTGCTCAAGGCCCCCAACCTTTCCCATCTCAGCAGCTACACTCCTGGAAAGGCCATCCATACCTGCAGTTTCTGATCCACACACTGATGAGCTCCAACAGGAACTCCACAAGACACTGGCCCATCTACTTTCTGGATCTTTAGATTGCAAAGAAATCCTTGGATTTTTTAGTACAGGATGAGGAACAGCAGCCCAAGGTCAGTCTCATTTTTCATGGTCTGGTTTAAACCCATCATCCAACTTGACTAAAACAAGCACCACTGAGGCACACAGCAGCCAACTCCCACCAGAACACAGGTGAACCCCACCAGCACCTCCCCATGAGCCCTGCCTGACCAGACCCGAACAGGCCCCATTTACAGCTGACACCCTAAAACACGCCTAGATGCTCCCAGAAGTTTGATACTCACCTCTAAGAATGGATGACTGGTTTTGAGCCTTGCTGCCAACACATGGGGCAAAAAAAAGATGGTCCTACCTCTTTCCAGGGCTGGGACTGGTCACTCTGAGGACACTTCTCAAGAGACTGTTTTATTCAGTCTAACTTTTTGGCCCTTTTCAAGTGAAAAGTGAGAGAGACAAATGCCTCAAACCAAAATTCCTAACAGACTTTAAAAATAAATTTCTAGGTAGAAGACAGAACCACAGTGGTTCCACTGAGATGGCCATGACACAGTTTAATGACAGATTCTTATACACCAGAGTATCCACAGGGCAGGAAGATCCTACGACGCAGCTGCAGGGACACTTCTGATTGGAGCTGATGCATTATTAGACACACAGACATGCACACACACAAAAACCTGGCTTCAAATTCTGCTTCTAACAGAGCTGATCATAGAAAACCATTGAGGACTCAGGGGTGGGGGCTCAGGCTGCAGCCCAGGGGCTCCCACCTGCTCTGCCCCTTCTCAGGCACAAGCTGAGGGGTTGGGAGGGTGGGGGAGCAGGGAGGGTTGGGGGGGGGCAGCAAGGGCTGCTTGAGCATTTAGTTATTTTACCATTTTCCCCAGCCAAGCTAAACAAATTGTGCCATCTTTGTCTGTGAAAAAAATTAATTTATTATCACTTCCTAGTAAAAAAGTGAAAAGCTAGACTCTGTTAGACCAGTAAGACACAGAACTACTCCAGCTCTTTGGAGGTTTTTAGATACAACTTTGAAGCACATTATTCTACAAAGGAACAGCAAGAACATTTCTTAAGAAAGGAAACTTTATAATGGGTCAGACTTTTAAGCAGAAGAGGATGTATCCATTACAGGACTCCCTTTCTGTCCAGATGACTCCTGTGAAACACCCTAAAATCCTCCAGGTGGCACATACGGAACGTTTGCTAATCACAGAATCATGGAATGGATCCTTCAGTTCCATCCCCCCTGCTGTGGGGCAGGGACACCACCCACCAGACCAGGTTGCTGAAGGAGAAACGTGTCTTTAAAAAGTGACTTCAGGAAACAAGTGCAAGTTCCTTTTAAATCTGTTTTATAAGAAGGATACCAATGTACATTTTAAGGGTTTTATTTTCATTTTCCCCAAGGGGGAACCAAAGGCAGAGAGGTGTTGTGAGATACATCACACTGTTCTTAGGGGTAAATCAATTTGCAAATGTCATTTTACCACTCTAGAAAAATACACACAGGAGTGTGAAGGAAGCCAAGTGGCTATCATGGAGCAAATATGTTAAATACAATCAAGTTTTTCCCCCCCAAAATTGTGGCTCCTTGTGTTCCATAAAACCAAAGTCTTCAGTAGCCACATGCCACAGGAACAAAAATGTAAGTGGTAGCTTCCTTGGAGCATGTGCACACAAAAGCATTAGTAAAGAACTGCTCCTATGGGAGTGGACAGCAGATGTGAGCAACAAAGCCCCACCCACAACAGGAAAGAAGATCTGCATTCACTTTTATTGTCTCAGCTTCCCATCCAAACTCCTGTAAACAGGTTCCATCCTGTTCAGTCATCTCTGATAAAAGAGTCTATAGTTCTATAAAAAGAAGTCAGGTTGCAAGATCCAGGTATTTACCCTGTATGTGTTATCTGAGCACAATGAGGAACAACCTTCCAGTTTCTCTAGATGCATCCAAGCAATTTGTGTTCATTTCTCTGTCCAATTGTGCTGTGGGAAACTCACTTTAGTGCCTCTTCAGAGGTGGAGACAGTTTGCTTTTAAAAATATTAAGGAAACAGTTGTTGGTTTTTTTAAACTTTATGAACTTCCTGGAAAGTTACTGTGGAAAATGAAAGTGCTCCCATGGTGAGACCAACGTGTAGAGCTCTACAAACTTCTGTCCTTGCTGCTTTTATTCCTTCCCTTAGCAGATTCACGTTAAGATGAGGCTCAAGACATTGCAAGGAGGCCATCATCCACCTGTAACAAGCAGGCAGACACTGGCAAATGTTTGATGTTTAATCATAAAACGTGGAAAAAGCAAAAAAAAAAATTGTTCAGATGGGATGGGGATGGTCTCTTGAGGGGGTTTATATCCCAATGGCCTGTAACACTCGCTTCTCGTTCTCATTGAGATGGTCTGAAAACATTGCATAGCAGGGCTGCTGTGCAAACTGACAGAGGAAGTCAGTGAGATAGGCCTGAAAGGAAGAAATAAATACTCAGTTAGTGTAACATCACCTTGGAAAGTCTCTTTCTTTCATGTGTCACAAGAGAAACCTCAACATGCACCAAGTGGGACGCAGGGATTGCAGGGAGCAGGAAAGAGCTGCAGGAGGGAGGGTTGGGAAAGAGCTGCCTGTGGTGGTACAAATCGGGAGCAAAGTATCACACAAGGGCTGTGGCAGGATGGGAGCCTCCCCAGGAGTATGAAATCCTGCCATGTTCAGCCTCCAATCTGCTCCTGACTTCAGCAAAGAGCTGTGAAGCTCTTGGGTACAAAAGCCTCATCTCCCTCTGTTCAAAAAGCTTTGTTAATTCATACTTCCAAGTTATAGATATTGATCCAGTAAGGAACAATAACTCCAGGCATTCTTGGGATACTCAGCACTTCTGAAAGTAGTTTCAATGTCCTGAGTACCTTCAGGACAACAATCAGTAACTGGTGTTTACAGTTCTGTTAAAGTACAACATAGAAAAAATAATTTATAAATAATGATTGGAATCTGATTTAAAAATTCATTCTAAAGCATCACCTGGAGATCTATTTGGTAAAGAGGGTCCTTTAAAGCATCAGGGTCATCCTCTTCATCATCTTCATAGTAATCCTCATCTGTCAGAGGCAAATCAGCAGGTTTTAAATGAAACAGCAAAGTATCTCAGGAATTATTCTGTTACACTGTTGTTGAAATCCAAGGCTCCAACAAGGAAACAGTTTCAGCAATGCTGGGTAAACATTTGTATTGAGAAGATTCACTCCTCAAGCTGAGGTGATTAGAAACCACGACACCCCAGAACAAGAAGCTGACAATGAGAGTCTTGAGGAGCACACGGGTGAGGAGCACACACGGGCACCAAACAGGCAGCCTAGTTAGTTATGTGCACTATGATCTTATCCCTCAGCCTTCAGTCCAGTGACACCTTTCCAGTTCTGGGCTCATGTCAGCATCTCCCTTATTGTCTCTGCCTGGAAGGTTCTCTCTTCCAGGACTATATGCAAACTGGAGAGCAGGAGATGAAGGAAGGAGATGAAATGCCTGCTCCATCTTTATGCAGCTATTATTTCTCAAGGTCACACCACAAACAAGCTCATCCATTGCCATGACATTGTCACTCTAAGGTCACATCTACATCTTTAAGAATCAGTTTTCTCTTTAGAAGAAATACCTGCATGAACCTCACAGCAACATGAACTCTGGTGAAAATGCAGTTATTTAATCATGGTGTTATTCAAAGACATGTCCCTCTCTTACAGAAAAAAGTCCTTATTCAACATCCCAGGGCAGTATTTCCTTCCCCTTGCCTGAAGTCTCTGTTGAGCTGCTGCCAAGGAAAGAAAACTTTGACTAGGATGTCACAGAATCATAGAATTGTCAAGGTTGGAAAAGACCTTCAAGATCATGAAGTCCAACCCCTACAACCCCTAACCACCAAACCATCTTATGAAACACCACATCTAGCCCTTTTTTGAACACCTCCAGGGACGGTGCCTCCACCACCTCCCTGGGCAGCCTGTTCCAAGGTCTCAGCACTCTTTCTGTGAAGAAATTTTTTTCTAACATCCAGCTTGAACCTCCCCTGGCACAACTTGACCCCATCTCCTCTTGTCCTATCACTGGTCACTAGGGAGAAGAGCCTAACACCTACCTCACTGCAACATCCTCTCAGGTGGTTGCAGAGAGCAATGAGGTCCCCCCTCAGGCTCCTCTTCTCCAGGCTGAGCAGCCCCAGCTCCCTCAGCCTCTCCTCATCAGACCTGTTCTCCAGACCCCTCATCAGTCTCACTGCCCTTCTCTGCACCCTCTCCAGCACCTCCATGTCCTTCCTATCCTGCGGTGTCCAAAACTGCACCCAGTGCTCAACTACTCTACTCTCTCTCTGAATAAGCACTTCAAAGGTGTTACTTACCATACTTGTTTGTGGAAAGAATATCTGATAAGAACTGTCCTGCTAAACCTTCATCTTCATCCTCATCCTCTTCCTGATCCTCCCACATGTCATTCGAATCATCTGTTCAGAAAAAAAACCAACACATTTATACAAATAAAAAAGCTTTAAGAGGTCCAGTGTGTCCATCACTCTAAGGGGACTGCAGTTTTCAGGCAAAGGTCCCCACCCACGTAGGATGAAGGGAAACACCTCCAGCCTTTACCAGCCCTTTGGAGTAAGAAACTCAGGAACTGGAGGTAAGCAAAAAGCAGCTGCAAGAATGGATGCCTGAAGCAGGGAGGAAGAAAGGCAGACCAGACCCATCAAGACAGGACAATTTTATTAGCATATGGTCAGATCCCATGTTCCAAACTGGCCCAAAATAATTTTCAGGTGTAAGTATTGATTCTATCCTTTGGATCACTATTGAAGCCTTTGCTATTACAGGTATACTATTTACTATTGTGAGCTTCTTATTACCATAAATGCTTCTGAAGAGATTAAAAGGTATATTTAAGCCATGGAAGAGGAAAAGCAAACCCAGTTTTTTACCTTGGCTCCAATCTGCAGTTGTCTGTCTAGATGCATTTGCTTCCATTGCATTAGAGAGTTCATTTATTATTAATTTTAAGATTTTTACTAACAAAGGAATATTTGTCCAGCGTTCAGGATCTGTAAGAAAAGAAAAATACATACACATACTGCTTTTAATAAAAAGTTGTTAAAAACAGGCCTTTTTTTGTAGTGGTTGGTTTCTTTAATTTTATCATGCATTTAAAATGCTCACAGATAAGCAAAAGCCTCCAGGTTGGAAGCAAACTGGACTGACAAGAACCCCCCGATGTTTCCTCCATATACCTTCACAGCTAGATGTCCTAAGATCTTCACTGCAGTATCAAATACTGCACGTTTTGGATGAAGAGAAGATGTGGTTAAAATCTTCACAGCTCAATTAATTTGTGAGTCTACTCTGTGAAATCCGTTCCAGGTGACTTCATGAAGCAGCATTCTCTGAAGTTATCCCTGCATATCTAGCAGGAATACTCAGTGCTTTCAAGTGTCTGAGCAGTGCAGCACCCCCACACATGGCTCTACCCTTTCTGAGACACTGCAACCTCCAAATTTTCCTCTCCATGGCTCTTGCAAGGCCTTATTATCCCAAAGGATAACTAGACAGTGGTTTGGTCCTTAATTTCAAAAGCAAAGGTCATATCAAATTAAGAAACTGGGAGCACTACTTGTAGCTCCTGAGGTGCTCAAATGCTGGCAATTACTGTTCTTCTGTCAGGCTAGACAATGTCTGAGTTTGGTTTGTGCTGCTTGGTGTGTTTTTTAAGCAAGGAGTAATAAGGTTGCAGGTGTTTTGTGGCCACTACTTCTCTCTTAACTCCCTGTGCTTTCCCATTTCCTTCCCATGTTCCTCCATCACCTTGTCCCTGGGCCTACAGCAGCTGAAGAATGGGACCCTCTGCCTCCATGGGTCTCCACTTTGGCCCAGCACAGCTTGTCCCACACCTGGTTAAGCACAAGCTCTAGCACAGCAAACTGCAGAACCTAGGGTTTGATTGTCCCCTGAGGACAGCAGATCCAGTGTCCCCTCCCCTCCTGGGGCTCAGTCCCCAGGAAAGAAAAAACAGCCCAGTGCCCTCTCTGATTTAATATATGAATACCTAGACAGTAACTTCCAATCAAGGATTTGGGGTTCAGCCAATTAAAAATAACATAAGTCTTATGCAGGAGACTAGCTAGGCTCTCCTTGAAAGTCATCTCTAACTTGTTGAAACCATTGCTAATATTTGTGAAAGTCTGCCTCTTAAAAAAAACCTCCAACTTTTTTTTTTTTTTAAATGCCTGCATTAATTAAATATACTTCCCTCTCAGAGAAGCTACAAGGCATCATGAAATCATTAATTCTATTCAGCCTGGAAAAGAGAAGGCTCCAGAGAGACCATAGAGCACCTTCCAGTGTCTAAAGGGACTCCAGGAAAGCTGGGGAGGGACTTTTTATTAGGGCTTGTAGTGACAGGATAAGGGGTAATGGCTTTAAACTGAAAGAGAGGACATTTAGGTTAGACATCAGGAAGAAATTCTTCACTGTGAGGGTGGTGAGAGCCTGGCCCAGGTTGCCCAGGGAAGCTGTGGCTGCCCCATCCCTGGCAGTGTTGAAGGGCAGGTTGGATGGGGCTTGGAGCAGCCTGGAATGGTGGGAGGTGTCCCTGCCCATGCAGGGGGGTTGGACTGGATGGTCTTTAAGGTCCCTTCCAACCCAAACCATTCCACAGTCCTATGATTAGATGGAACATGATGAAAATAGCAGCAAATAACTCCCTATCTCATAATCACCTCATCATCCATCACAGACATCAGGAATCTTCTAAATAATTATTTGGCAGAATTAAAGCAAATAATAGACGAATGGATTAGCTCTAAAAAACAACATGCACCTTCTGCAGGGAGTCTCTCTCACAGCTTTGTGTGACCTGCAAGATTGCCTTAAGGCATCCACAACAGGGAAAAACACCCCAAACTTATGAAAACCAGCAATAAAATTACTTACTTTTGGCTGACTTTGACCGTGTCCGTATTCCCTCATCCATATTAAATATTTCTTCTCCCTTTACCCTGATGTCCTGAAGTCTCTTGTCATCTGTGTTGATGCCATGTTGAAGGAGTTTACACAGTGCTACAGAGCTGGGGGGCAGGGAATAGCAAAATTACAGACCAGGATTTCCCTAAACCACCTGGCTTCCACAGTGACCTGTTAACAGGGAACATCTTCAGAGCTGACATCCAGATGCCCTTTTTTCTACACTTTTGCAAAGAATAAGCATTACAGAATTTTCCTATTTCTCCTGCTTTATGTCAGCATCCAAAACTGGACTCAGCTCCTGACCTGCACAGCAAGCCAAAGAAAAGCCAAGGCTGGTGCTGACAGGAAGAACAAGATTAAACTTTGCTGTCTCCATATTGTCCCAAGACCTGTGTACAGATGGCTTGGCAGGGCTCCACACTATTAAACACTTTGATTTGGGTTATTTACAGAGATCCTTTTTATCCATTAGAAAATGCAGGATGTTTTCTGTGTACTGCAGAAGGCAGTGCCTGCTCAGAGGACCCTCTTGTTTAGAGTTGGTAAAAGGAACATGAAGATATCTGGCATCTTCTGTGTGCACCAGTTCCCATCCCTGTGATGGGCTGTTTTTTACCAACACAGCTTTGGACTGGACGCTACCAGGCAGTGCACAAACACATGAAAAGTTTTTTCCAGTTCAGGAGGACCACAAGGGTAAACACTCCTGAAGCATCATGTGCAGATGAAGATGGAATTAGGAGGAAAAGAGCAGCAAGACAGTAGTAACTTGGTTGATCTGCAGATATCAATATCTCCTTCTATTTTTCTCCAGTCTCAAAGATAATTTACTCTTCTGGTCCTTCACAGTTCAGTGACACTCAGACCTTCGTTGCTCCCTTCATACATTCTTTCCATCTCTACTGCTCAGATTTCTACACCACACTTTCAAACCTTCTTCAGTTCCAGGCTGTTTTCAAGACATATTGAGTATGACTTCGATTACAGGCTGAGGCCACCAGTTTACACTTGGCATTCTTAAACCTCCCTCTGGCTCCATAAGTCTCAAACTAAAGTTCAGGAGCTCCATGGAATTCCCTCTTTTTGTGCTTTCACTTCACACCCTCTTTCTCTCCCACACTAAGGCTCTGAGTTCCCAGAGTTCTCTGGTTTGGACCCAGATCTTACATGCCCAAGGTGGCATCCATCCTTTCAACATGCAAGCCAAGAGCAAAAAGCCACTTCTTCAACCTGTCCCTCACAGGGATGGGAACTGGTGCATACAGAAGATGCCAGATATCTTCATGTTCCTTTTACTAATTCTAAACAAGAGGGTCCTCTGAGCAGGCACTACTTTCTTCAATACACAGAAAACACTCTGCATTTTCTAATGAATGATAAGGATCTCTGTAAACAACCCAAATCAAAGTGTTTAATAGTATGGAGCCCTGCCAAGCCATCTGTACACAAAGAGCTCTAATCTTGGACAATACGGAGACAGCACTGCACAGCAGAGTTCAACCTTGCTCTTCCTGACAGCACCAGCCCTGGCTTTTCCCCATGGCCATGAGAAGCCTCAGAGGATCCTGCAGACAACCCTGCCCTGTGAAAATCGGGATGAAACCACTGCATCTAGGGATGAAACAGACCAAGAGTGAATGAAAACAGCACCAGATCCCCAAATCAGGCTGCCTCTTGTTCAGCATGATCCTTCACCAACTTCCACTTTAAATATGCTTTTTCTTCTTAATTATTTCATAGGATATTTGACTGCTTTGTAACACTTAACACACCAACAAATACTAAGAAGTGACTTAACAGCTGATGAGACTCCTAAGAGTGGTCTGTTAGGCTTCACATTTCCAGAACAGCAGCTGCAGCAAGACTTAATACAGAGCGTTTCATGCTTTGGAATACAGTACTCAGCCTCCCCCAGAACCCAAATGTGCTGCTACAGCAAAAGGGAGAGAAAACTGTGGCAGATGATTTCTTTACTGACTTGTAAGAGAACATTACATCAACAAAAAACCACCAGATTCTCTCAGGAAACCCTCTGCAGTGTCTATAAAAGCAATTTTGTGTCTGGAAGCTGTTCCCATCCCATTCACAGATATTCAAAACCAAAAGCACCCCTGTGCTTGCAAGACCCTTCCCCCTTGGGTCACCCTGTTTCAGCACAGAAACACCAGGCAGCACAAGAAGCAATTAAGAGGAAGATCAGAGATTGCTCCAATTACCAAGGCTCTCCTAAGCCAAACTGACAGCACAGGAAAGAATTCATTCTGTCCAAAGCTGGCACACTGACCCAAGCCTCAGCCAGCTGCCCGTCCCCTCCCACCCAGTGCATTTCACTGGGATGGGATGATCACCACCCTGCCTGGGGGACACCCCTCGATCTGAGGAACACCCCCCCTGCCCAGGGAACACCCCACTACCTGAGGAACACCCCCTACCTGACTTTGCCTTCATACTGCCCGTAGAACAAGTGCTGCCTGCTCATCCATTCGGCCATTACAAACTCCAGGGCTGGCTTGCCAGTTGGTCCCGGGAGACTACACAGGAACTCCAGGAGTGGTTCCAGTTTTGAGTGAACCAAGTGAGCAAACACCATAATCAAGGACTGCAGGAGGAGAAAGGAAACATTAGCTGTACATAATTTAATAGCTGAAAATGTTTGATCAAATATTCAAGTAACCGAGTGTCCTGTGAGAGCAGAGACCGTGCTCAGCAACCCCAGGAGGAAGGGGAAGTAAAACCCTCTGCCAGGCACCGTGCGCCAAGAGCCAGCAGTGACCTGCTAGAGTCAGCAGCAGAGTATCTATCCCCCACCAAAAAACCACTGCAGGAATAAATTTACTCATACCTCAAGCTAACAAACCTTCCTAAAGCAAAGTTTAGAAAGCTATTTTAAAAATACCAGAGGTTGCAATTGATGTTTGACTAGCAAAAATATCATCTGGCAACTCTGAGGTGCTGCAGGGCTGTGGTCTGCCCAAGGGAGCAGGAGCTGCACACGTGGCTCCACGCACAGAGCTCTCAACCCACACAGATGTAGCAGGGACACATCTCATGGTCAAGCTAAGGACCTGAAGCCACTGCTCCAGAACCAGAACCCGTATTTTCTTCTCCTTTCACCCCATGGATTTCCCACCATCACCTCCACCACCCTTCTCCCATGTCATCACATCTTAATTCAGCAGCACTTTTCCAATTCTGAGTGCACTTTGACGACAAGTTTTAGGGAAAAAACTGCAAGTTTTAGAAAGGTTTTTTGGTGTTTTGTTTGTTTTTTTTTACAAGATGCACATTTACAGTCTGAGTCTTAAAATCCAGCAGTAGAATTCATATGCTGTGTATGCCCAAATGTCAGTCTCTGAGCCTGAGGGCATCCCCACAAGCTTCCTTGGGAAAAAGCTGCCCATCTCCAGAGCCCATCTTTAAGGCTAACACAGGGAAGAGATTCAGCATCGTGAAAGGCTCTTTTCTCTTCCTCTGGATACAGGGGATTCAGATCTTTTAAATTCAAAAATTGGCAAAGTGAAAGCCATTCTGAACAGTTCTTAACTGTTCCGAGTGTTTCCAAGGAGGGGAATAAAATAAAGGCTTTAAGATGAAATCTGTGTCGACATCTGAACAGCCTTATTGACTCCCTGTGTGCTGGCTTGAAAAAACACACAAAAATCAGAGAAATACACAGGATGGAAGGGTTAGAGCAGAGGGAGTCTCAGCCAAGTGCCACAAAGGTGGGATCTTGCCAGAAGGCAGAACTCCTCAACAGTGCCAGAAAAACACCTTCCCCCTGCTGCTCCTGAGGAACCAGGGCAGCCATCTCTACACGTTTGACATGAAGGGCACAAAGACCACTGGGATAAAAACCATTCCATAAAACTGTGCCACTAGAAGTAGGTCAAAGCTAGAAGAGATGGCAACACTCTTGTCTGGCCTCTCACCTGAGGCAACTACACCTCCCCCACCAAAAGCTCCCCTTCTCGATTCCCAGGCATTTATCCTTCAAGTACAGCACAAAACCAGGTGAACACATGTGCTGCCTTTGCCACAGCATCCCTACTTGGGCAACTCTTGTCCCCTCTAAAGATGCCCTGCTTTCAAGTACAAGGTCATGAGGGACTATTCAAGGTCCAAAACTCACCCTGAAGAGCCTGGCCTACCCCATAACCCAGACAACTCTGCAGAAGCACAGCAGGCATTTTCCTGACTACTTCAAGAGGGTAACTGTGAAATTCCAACTGCATTAGCCATAAATAATGAAGCACACAATTAAAGAAAAAAAAAGATAATTTCTTTTCCTGACACTTCTACCTTCCTTGTTGGGTGCCCAACCTGCTCACCTGCATTACACTTAGTGTCTCTGCTTGCTGCATTTTGCTCAGGATAGCTCTCAGGATCTGGTCCAGATTCTCTCCCAGTTCACTTCCTGCTTTTGAAATTAAAGTGGAGACCAGCCTGCCCACAAAGGCAGCAGTGAATTCTGAGGTCCTTGGATCCAGAAGCTGGCTCACCACCTGCATCACATACCACAGCCCATTGTGGCCTTGCTCATCGTGCCACTGTGCAATCTGCTCCAGGGCCACCGAGACGTACGCGCGCAGACACTCGCCGCCGTTCTAGGCAAGAGAATTGTCGCGTTAGAATTGCCCCTTTCTAGGGGGGGCATCACCCCAAAAAGACCTCTGAGCGAGATGAAAACAGCGGGCAAACTGCTGCCATCTGTATAACATCCAAGCTTTCTAATGGGCAGTAAAACAAGTGCCTAATTTTAAAATAATTTCTACAGACTTTAGTTCATTATCAAGTACAAAATTCTTCACTGTCGACCTGGAGAACTGTGTCCCGTTCTGGGCTGCCCAGTTCCTGAAGGACAAGGAGCTACTGGAGAGGGTCCAGGGCAGGGCCCCCAAGTGCTGAGGGGACTGGAGCACCTGCCTGTGAGGAAAGGCTGGGAGAGCTGGGGCTGTTCAGCTGGAGAGGAGGAGACTGAGGGGGGATCTCATCAACCCTCCTCAATATCTCCAGGGGGTGTCAGCAGGATAGGGCCAGACTCTTCCCAGCAGTGCCCAGTGACAGGACAAGGGGCAATGGGCACAAACTGGAGCACAGGAGGTTCCAGCTGAACAGGAGGAAAAATCTCTTTGTTGTGAGGGTGACAGAGCCCTGGGACAGGCTGCCCAGGGAGGTGGTGGAGTCTCCTTCTCTGGAAACATTCCAAACCCATGTGTGTTCCTGTGGGATCTAGCAGAGGGTTGGACTAGATGATCTCCAGAGGGCCCTTCCAACCCTGACCACTCTATGACTCTAAGCACCCAGAAAATACAAAGACAACCTGAAGTAGCTGCAGTTTTGTGCTAATCTTGTTACCTGGAGAAATTCCAAGACACTCCAGCAAGTGAGAGATGAAGACAGCAGAGTATAGCATGAACAAAACACAACACAACCATTTTCAATTCTTTCTTAAAACAAAGACCAACAGAGCAACCAGAATGCTGGTCTCCAACCACTTCTATCTGGTCTGCAACCTGTCCTTACTGGTATGTTGTTTAGGGAAAGTAATTTCTGGTCTGTGTTCACATGGCAAAGGGCAGTTGGCACTACAAAAGTCCTTATGTAAGGAATGAAGCCAGCTGTATTGTTTATATGCCAGCTAGGAGCTGGAATGACAAGGCATCCTGCACCCTCTGGTGCTTTTTCTTTCATGCTTAAATAGTCTAAAGTCAGCACAGGTAAGAGTAGAGGACAAGCACAGCTCAGACAGTACTGCTGTCTGAGATGAAGTCTTGCTCTCCTTCCATCCCATGCCTGGCTCAATCAAAAAGAAGTTTGCCCTCCTCTTCCCACCTGAATGAGTGGGAAGAAAAAGAAGGAAGGCTGCTGCTTTATTCACTCCAGTCCTCCAAACTGAGGAATGATCAGCGAGTCACTGCAGGCTGTTTATCAGCAGTTCTTCCATGATACACTGGAGGTGGCAGAGACTCCTGAGGAGTTGCTGATACTGCAAAGCTCGGGCTCCCTCAAAGGCCATGTCACCTGTCTCACTTGGTCACCCCTCTGGGACTTACACAGCCCTGCAATCCTTACCACTCCACAGTGTTACCTGCATGGTAGCATTGTCATCTGTGTTCAAGCTGCACTGAGCCACTGCAGGGAATGCTTGACAGATGAGGAGCTGGGACAGAGGAGGTTTTGTATTCCTGACAACTGTGGTCAAGATATCAATAGAAGTCTGAAAGGAAAACACAAACAGATGCAGTGTCACGGCAGCAGCCACAGCAGGCTGTCAGCACCACCTTCCCCTGCTCCAAAGCCATAAGGGGATGTGAGCCAGTACTGCCACCACACCTGATTATAAAGCCTAGGACATTTTTGAAACCAGAGCACCTTGGAGCATGAACCCAGGGATCCCTGTACGCGACATGGACACACACGTGTCCACTGCAGAGGTTCCCAAGGCAGCTCAAACATTAGAAGCAGTGTAACCACTTAAAGACAGTAAACAGTTTCAGGGTACCCTGATGCATGCTAATCAGTATAGCCAGAGAACTGTTTCAGCTGACTTGTTCCATGTTATTTATATTGATTTAAATTTATTCTAATTGACTGTGAGCAATTACTACAGTCATTCTAATCAATAGGAAGATGATAAGCATAATGATAAAGATGTTTATGGGTTTAAATTTAATACAATCAATCTACACAGTCAACGCTTTGTCTTTTATAAGCTGAAAAGCTAAAAAGGACAAACCTGTAAAATTTATCTCCAGCAATTTGTACATATGTGACATATAAATCAGAAAAAGCCTCTGAAAAATGTGCAAGGAATTGCTGTGCACCCTGCTGGAGAACATTCCACCAAAAAGAGGGACTGTTGGTGGTGAAAGTTGGCTTGTCGAAACAGAACGACTAGGGATGCACTGCAGGGACTGGAAGAAGGCCAGAGGAACAGTTTAAAGTTAACTTTTGGAAGCATTTCCCCCCACGTGCAGTATGCCATCTTTCCACAAGGAAACCTCCACCAATGACCAAAGTCATTGTTCCAAAGCCATTTAAGAACAACCTTCCTGCTCCTTGAAGACCAGCCCGCACTGGTTACAGAACAAGGAACATCTCCAGCCAAGCCCACACCACTGTAGCACTTACTGCACAAAGCCCTGCTGGGATCTTGTCAGCAGGGGCCTGCATGATGCTGACAAGAGTTGGTATTAGCCTCATCTGCATTGGACCCTGGCAGGCTTCTATCTGAGCTAGCTCCTTAAAGATATCTTGGGCAAGAGAAGCAACAACTGGATCTGGAGAGAGAAAGCACCATTTACTAAAGCATATTAACAAACATCTCAAGTTTTGCTACCACTACATCAACCAGGCAAAGCAGCAAGTTTCCCATCTCACTTTACCTTGGAATGAAGAGATGTTCATTTAACTATCATTTCTTATGTTTTTAGCACCAGGATTCAGAAGCAAAACCAGCTGTGCTTTGAGAATCTACCTGGAACACATACCATTACTGTACTTCAAGAAGATTGCAATGGTGAAGGGGCAGATTTTGTTCTCCACGCTGGCTGTGAACGCTGGGTCGACTGTACAGACAATGCAGAGTGTCTCCATCACCAGGTTTAGCACCTCTGAGCTGAACTGGGTTGCCAAGTGGATCAGTCCATCAAGAATGCTGGGGAGGAAAGGCTGCAACACGTGGGTGCTCTCAGAGATCTTCAACTGGTCACAGTAGCTAGACAAGGAATTTGTGACATAAAAATATTGATTAGTGATTAATATAAGAGATTGTATTTCACCCCATCCTCTTCTTCTTCCTGAATTTCCCTTCTCTAGGACTTTTCCCCCATCAGACTAGGATGCTTTTGTCTCTCAACAGCTCAGCTGCCTTTCCTCCTCATTCTATCCCCAATGGTTTGCAAAAGCCGAGTTGAGCCAAGTGATGGTAAAACTTTTCATTGCCTCTCAGTAAAAGTTCTCTCTTAAGAGCTGTTCACCCCTGGAGAAAATAAGCCCTGGGGAAAGAACAGTCTGAGAGAGAGACTCACTGCTCACAATGTCTTTAATCACCATGTTCTACAAGTGAGGTAGAGAAGACAAAAAACAATTTCAGGAATAACCAAGTTGTAAGTATCTGCCTTTATTCATTATCATTTCTGTGCAAATAAGAGGACAAGGTGGTTTTGGGGGAGGGGAAGAATAGCCTGTTTTTTGTGGGGTTGTGTGTTTATTTTAAACTACAGTTCATTTTTCACATTAAAATCAATCCAGCAGATATTCCCTTTTTATTTTTGCAACTTATTTGCAAGAACAGGATGCCAACACCGCCCCACTACAAACATTCCTTGTGATTTGCTCCACCAGCCCACACAGCCATCAGCCATCCCTGTGACTGAACAGGAGCAATCTGGGTTTCATTTTCATACTTTACATCACTCTGTAGTTCTGCTTCTCGTCAACCTTGTATCTCAATTTCACATTCCTCATTAGAGTTACAGAGTAATAGAATCATCGAGGTTGGAAAAGACCTACAAGATCATCAAGTCCAACCACATGCCCTACAATCACTAAACCATCTGCTAAAACACCACATCTACCTGTTTTTTGAACACCTCCAGGGATGGTGCCTCCACCACCTCCCTGGGCAGCCTGTTCCAAGGCCTCACCTGCTGCAACTCAACACCATTTCCTCTTGTCCTAAAAGTTGTTCTATTCTATTTTGAACCTGCTTGCTTTCACTTTTTAACTTTACATCTATTTTATTCAAAGCAAACACTTCCACAGTCTATACAGAAATATTATCAGTATTTTAAAATACCAGTTTTAGAAGTGTAATTTGTGACACCTATCATAGAATTGTCAAAGTTAGAAAAGACCTTCAAGATCCTCAATTCCAACCATCCATTCTACCACCCCTAATCTTGGAGCTTTGGAATATCTGATGGTTTACTCACCCCCAGATGGCTCTGACTGCAGAGATTCGGACAGAAGGAGGTTGGGTTTCATGCAGCCCACTGACAGTTGCCTGCAGGAACTGCTGGATCAGCTCTGGAGACATGGCCACTGTGAACCGGCTGGCAGCCCAGAGGGCACGGCCCAGGAGAAAAGGAGACACTGAAACAAACCAAAAACCCCAGCAGGTTTAATTGCAGTTTTATTGGCTTCAAATTACAGCTGCTTCCATCCACTATCCAAAATGTTATCATCCCAGTAAAAGAAAAGACAGAAGACCAGTATGCAAGTATACGAAGAATTTTTATTTATGGGCAGAATAAAGTTAACTTTCTTAATTATTTAAAAAAACCCAACTTATTCTTTGTTTTAAAAAAAACAAACAATGCACTTCTTCCCTCAACTTCAATTTGTTCACCAATCCAGCAATACATGCTTTAGTGATGATCAGAACTGAAGTAAGGGAAAAGAATGAAGGCTCTTGCAGTGACTCCTGCCCATCTAGCTCAATGTTCTGTCCCCAAGAGCAGAAGCTACAGGGAAAGAATGAGAGAAGCTCAGCACATGTACAGGGATTTTTAGTAGATTACTTTCCTGGTTTCCAGTCACCACTTTGTAATGACAGCACAGGAAGTTCAAGAGCACCAGAGAAATAGTGAATTCTCCTTCTCTACTCACTTGCTTACACTTATATTACACTTAACCCTCCTGCCTTTCCAGGCTAAAAGTATCCTGATGTATTCAGGCTATTCTTAAGCAGATGATGCCATTTCTCAGCATCTTTACTGCCATTATTTATACTCCTGCAAGTATTAATTTAATACGAAGACATAAAAAACTCCATGCAAGATACAAAGCAAGAGAAGAGCTTTGTTTTCTAAATGAGTAGTATAAAAAAGCAAGATTTCTTTATCATTAAAGCGACATCCTCTGAGAACAATCTATGCACTGAATCCAGCAGCTCCTTCTAAAGCACAACAGCTCATTTACAACCCAGCACCACACATGAGTGTGCAAATAAATGTAAACATCTGAGGCTGTTTTTTTACATGGATTGCACACTCTGCACACTATCTCTTCATTCAAAATCAACTCAAAACCTGAAGAAACCTTCTTTGTAACAGGCTAAACAAATGTTTCTCTGCTGAAAGCATCAGCAATTTCTTTTTCTGCACTGACACAGCTTAACATGGACTCACCAATAATGATAATTATTGATAATATTATTATTGATAATTATATTATAATTACCAATAATGACCAATAATTTACTGGCTTAAACTTCTCAAATCCTAATTATTTGCAAGGACTCTCGGGGTCAGACTTTCAACAAGTCCTTGGACTCTCCTGCACACTGGTCTAAGATGACACAGAAAGCAGTAGCCTGCAGAGATCCCAAAATAGGATCACACTCAGCTAGGAATATTATTTGAATTCATCTGCCATGACCAGTGTCAGTGCCAGGAAACAAAATGGGATGGGATGTTGCTGCAGGAATTCTGAAGCCTGCTAAACACTGCTGGTGACCTTCCCAGAAAATGATACAAGACAACACAACTTCATCCCATTAGGTTCTCCAAACAATTGCTCTTCCATCTGCCAGCTCTCCAGGCTCAAGAATTCAGAATCACACAGAAACACAGAATCACCAAGGCTAGAAAATACCTTTAAGATCATCAAGTCCATCTATGACCTGACACCCCCACATCAGCCAGACCATGGCACTAAGTGTCACATCCAGCCTTTCCTTGAACCCCTCCCTGCTCCAGCACCTCAAGATCCTTCTTGCAGCGAGGGGCCCATATCTGCACCCAGGACTCGAGGTGAGGCCTCCCCAGTGCTGAGCAGAGGAGAGGATCACATCCCTGCTCCTGCTGGCCACACCATTCCTGATACAAGCCAGGATGCCATAGGACTTCTGGGCCACCCAGGCACACTGCTGGATCATGTTCAAGAAGCTGTCAACCAGTGCTCCCGGTTCCCTCTCTGCTGGGCTGCTCTCCAACCACTCTTCCCCAGTCTGTAGCACTGCCTGGGGTGATGGTGGCCACAGTCCAGGGTCCTGCACTTGGCCTTGTTGAATGTCCCCCCAGCCTGTCCAGGTCCTCCTGCAGCTTCTTCTACCCTCCAGCAGGAAGGTAGAAAACAGTGTCTTGCAAACAAACGCAGAGGGTCCTACATTTAAATGACTTACATAGGACCTGGCAGCATGTCAGAGAGACATACAGAGTCACAGAGTGGTCAGGGTTGGAAGGAACCTCTGGAGATCATCTAGTCCAAGCCCACCTGCTAGAGCAGAGTCACCTACAGCAGATCCTACATGAACACACATGGGTTTGGAAAGTTTTCAGAGAAGGAGACTCCACCACCTCTCTGGGTAGCCTGTCCCAGGGCTGTGTCACCTTCACAATAAAGAGATTTTTCCTCCTTTTCAGCTGGAACCTCCTGTGCCCCAGTTTATGCCCATTGCCCCTTGTCCTGTCACTGGACACAGAATCACAGAATCGTCCTGGTTGGAAAGGGCCTTGAAGATCATCAAGTCCAACTGTCAAAACGACACTGCTGGAAAGAGACAGGACCCATCCTCCTGAAACTTCTTTTGATATTGATAAGGGTTGATGAGATCCCCCCTCAGTCTCCTCCTCTCCAGCTGAACAGCCCCAGCTCTCCCAGCCTTTCCTCACAGGCAGGTGCTCCAGTCCCCTCAGCATCTTGGTGGCCCTGCCCTGGACCCTCTCCAGTAGCTCCTTGTCCTTCATGAACTGGGGAGCCCAGAACTGGACCCAGTTCTCCAGACAGAACCTCACCAGGGCAGAGGGGGAGGAACTCACAAGAGAAGATGTATGCATTTCCACGTGTACAATGTGCACAACTGCACATTACACCACCACATGCGCACAGCAACCTGATTCATCAGACATTTTTGTTTGTAAGAGATTCCCAAGATCTGGCTCTCAATAGTTACTCTGAGTTATGGCAAGGGCCAACATACCTGAAAGGTTGAGGTCTGCAAGAACAACATTTGTCAGGAACCCATGCATATCAAAATGTATCCTGCCATTCTTCACACTGTCTGTAATAATAGACTTCACAGAGCCCAAGGCCAGCATACAAGCTTCATGTATTTTCCACCTGCAAAAGAATTTAGATGTCTTGATGTTCTTTCCCAAACACTGCCTCTATAAATAAACAACAATCTGAAATGAAACTACAAATTTGTTGGCCTAAGATACCATAACTATTTTGCTCATCCCAAAGCAGAGAATTTTAAAAGGGCCAGAAAGAAATCAATATTTGCAAAGTTGGGAGTTTGTAACTCACCCAGGAGAGACAGCACCCTCAATCACTTCCTAAAATGTTGGTTGAATAACTGTTACTTCTTGTACCAATTTTGTTCCCATAATAAAAAAAAACAACAAATAAGATTTCTCTACGAAGGCTTCACCTCCAGCTGTGCCTTACTTGAGTGCAGAAGCACTGTGATACCCAGGACATTAAAGGCTTGCAAATGTGTATTTTTGCATTAGGTTTTGTTAATGATAATGAACTAAGTTATGGGCAAATGCAAATAACCTACTTTAAGGCTTGTCACAATTAAGGCAGACAGGGACTCAACATCAGAGTTCTCTGACATTCAGTTGCTGCTCACTGTGCAGTGTGGCTACTCTGACATTAGTATTCAAAACAAACACAAATGCTCAACTAATGCACTGTAAAACCAAAAGGGAATAGTTATGGAATTGCAAGTGGGTACTCTTGTAGCTGACCTTTCTCCTCCTATCCTCATGTGACATTAAAACCTGCAACTTTCAAATTCTCAATTGAACACCTACATCTGCAGACAGAACCTGAACCTCTTCTTCACATGAGGGAAAAGGGATGCCTGAAATTTTGAGCTCAGTCAATTGAACAAAAAAGTGAAAGTATTGCCAATTTATCTTCAGCTTGCCTATAACTAGTTATGGTTTCCAAGGATATGTTTTAAGGAACTGTCAGGGCCTGGAGGGAGGGAGCCTGGGGACAGCTAGCTGGTGCTAGGAATTGCTGAGAGTATTCCTCATGAAGATTCCATCAAATAGCTCAACTGCTGCACTTCCTCTTTCTAATCAGAGCTCTCCAATTTCACTCTTGTCCATCAGCAGCAACCTCACAAAAAAACGTGACTAAATTGTGCTCCACCAATGGTGCAAAAGGGCTTTACCATCCACAGAGTTCCCTGCTGCCCCAGCCCCTCACCAGTGCTCAGCACCGTTGTTTTTAGCCTGCTCAGCTTCTTGTAAATGCCTTGTAGCTGCTGCAGCCAAAGCAGTTGCACTCTCATTCTGGAAATCAGCAGCCACAGCCTGCACAGAAGGAAATGATAACATTTATTGATACAGATTCTTAAAAGCTGGCCTTTTCTCCAAGTGCCTTACACAAAGCTAGATTTATTATTTGTTACTGTTGTTTTGGTTCCACCTAAAGGTGGAACACATTCCCTACCAGCAGCAGATCCTGGGCAGCAATCCTCACTGTATAGGAAAAAGTATCATCATCTTCATCCTCCACAAACTGCTGTGGATTTGCAGTCCAAACTTTGATCTAAAACAGAAAGGAGACGTAAAGGACAGGGGGGTGGGTGACAAATTCAGAACACCAAGGGTAAAAGGAAGCTTGGCTGTTCCCAGTAACCTCAGTCTTGCAAAACTCCTTTCAGAAGCTTTCTCTGCCATAAAAAGTTGTCATCTCCAACTGAGAGTCTATGAGAGAAACCTTTGAAAAGATCTCTGTTCTGGGCTCATTTTGCTCTTCTGCTCCACATTTGAGGTCAGAATTTGAAAGAACTAATGACTGACCTGGAATTAATGCTAGAGTTTTATTAATAGATGAGGAATGGGAGAAGCAGAGGAATCTTTAACCAGAGTGTCTGTTTCAAGGCATGCCTGCCTGAACTGGAGACAAAGATGGCTATCAGGCTTGGCAGGCCAGAAGCCCTGCAGAATTTTGGTACAAATTATTTCACACTACCAGCTCAATCTTTTCACCATCACAGAAAACTGGCTGTCCCTTTCAGCACGATAATCCTCATTTCATAACATTAATCCTTCATGAAGGAATGAAGGAAGAAAGCTTGAGAGTTGAGGCTCCCTAAAGCCTGGAGAGAAGGCTCCAGGGAGCCCTTATTGCAGCCTGTAAATATATAAAGGGGCTTACAGGGAAAATGGAGAGAAACTTTTACAGTGGTCTGTTGTGACAGGACAAGGGGTAAAGGTTTCAAACTGAAAGAGGGGAGATTGAGATGAGATCTTGGGAAGAAATTCTTTGGTGTGAGGGTGGCGAGACCATGGCCCAGGTTGCCCAGGGAAGCTGTGGCTGCCCCATCCCTAGCAGTGTTGAAGGGCAGGTTGGATGGAGCTTGGAGCAGCCTGGGCTGGTGGGAGGTGTCCCTGCCCATGCAGGGGGTTGGAAATGGATGATCTTTAAGGTTCCTTCCAACCCAAACCATTCCACGATCCTATGATCTGCTGTCCATGTTGCGCCATGTAGGAACATTTGGATGCTGTTGTCCTAACTCCTGACACAGCAAAGTGACAAAACATATCCCAGTAGCTTCCACACACTGAAATTCTTCCTAGGACATCAGCTGTTGTCATCTTGTTTGCTTCCTACACAAGACAAATAGGCTCACCTGCTCCTCTGTGATCTGCATGTAAAGGAGTATGTAATAGATCAGCTCTGGCAAAGCCTTCTTCACTGTGCTCTTAAATTTGTTGTTCTCCAACAAGGCATGAACAAATTCAAATATGCTGAACACCAGATTTTCAAAGCCCAATACTTCACCTGAACAAAGAAGTGGGGGGAAAAAAAGAACATGGCTGAATATGCCAAAAACCAGAAGGGCACACATGAGAACAAAACCCGTAAGTGACTTTACTAACATGTAGACAGGTACAAATGGGTGTCAAATATAATTACAAACTGTCAGCTTGTCTTAAAAGATGTTTATTCTTTCTCCTGGGCTTTTGAGGCCAGCAGCAGCCCCAGGATGTCTGACCTCACCACTTCCTGCTCTCTTCCCACCCTTCATTAAAACTTGATCAAGCTCAACCTAGAAACCTGTTTGTTTTTCTTTTGTCCCATTACTTATAGCTCAAAATAGTTGCAGGACTCACTCCCTGGAACACTAGAAAGCACAGCTTCATTGATCACAATCACAAGCAAATTGCAAAGAAGCAACAGACACTGCTCTAACACCATAAATATACCTTTAAGCAGGATGTCCTATAGTGTAGGACAACAGTATTTTGACAAAAATACTATTGAGGTAAGTCCATTCCTCTTCAAAAGGGAAAGCAGAAGTGCAGGTTAGCAAGTTCTTACCATCAGAATCCACAGGGTCCTCCACCTCTTCTGTGTAATTTACTTCTGTTCTCACATAAGTGGATGAAGTTAAAGTAAATATGTATGTTTCTGAAAAACTGCATCTACTTAGGAATTAATCTGTTCCTATCTTAAAATTCCTGACAACTACAGAAGTTTTCTATCTTGAAAAAAACTCTTTGACCTTACTCACATCCCTGTGTTCCAGAGACAAGGCCCAGGGGCTTTGTGCATTACTCAGCTTCAAAGACCACTTTCACACACCACTTCCACATCACTCCAGTACATCCTTCAGATCATTTGGTTCACTGAAACCAAATCCTCCAAGGGAACCCCAAACTTTATTCAAGTTAAAACTCAGCAAGAACAGAACCCTCAGCCTCACCCTGGCTTGGACAAGGAGTCAATTCACACTTTGCTGCTGCCAAAGGGTGAGGATCAACCCATGAATCCCTGTGCTGCTTTATGTTGGCTCTTCCCCCCCTCAGGCTTCTCCACAAGCCTCAAACTCTGGGAAGTGGCAGAAAACTAACCTGGAGGTGAAGAAGAAGGAGGTTGCTTTGGGGATGGTGAATGGAAGGTCCAACAATGGCCAGAGCCATTCCAAGGGAAGGAAGGACAAGACTCTCTCCATTTGCAAACAAAAAACTATTTTGTCAGCTCAGCTGCCAGCAGGACTGCAGTGGGAGCCAGGTCAGGAGAGGGAGAAATGCACTATCAACAATTCAACAAATAGCTCCCTGTATTTCAACAGCTGTCTAAGAAAACAAACAAAAACCCAAAAAGCAGCTGAGCTTGAAACTAGACAACCTCTACTTGCACCAAAACTAAAGCTACTTTTATGTTCTCCCTGCCCACTTTCACTCTACAAGAGCCTATCACGCAGTGTAACAGGATTCTGACACACAGGACTATGCAGACAGCCTTGAGAGAAGGTCTAGATCTCTGATCTCCAGGAGAACAGTTTCATTCAATTAGAGAAAAAGCTGAGTCAGCCTTATGCTGTTATCACAACAGTGTCCACTTCTGGTGTTCATACCAAAATTCAGAAATAGCTGCCAGAGGACTCAGTATTTCAACAATTACTGTCTGGTTATACAAGGCTAAAAAGCAACTTTGGATTAACAATATGGAAAGATTTGACTTTTCAGTTCGCAAGCACTGGGCAAACTACCAGCAGAAGTCCTCTAGCAGGGCTGTTTGTTAAGTAATGAATGTTACAACATTCCAAAGGCAAATCAACTGCAGCAGTGATTGTAACCAGCCACTGGCACTCCTGCAGCAAGGGACAGTGTAGATTCTCCTTTACCTGAAGCCCTTACATTGACATCTTTTCTAAGAAGACAATTTTCACCAAATAGCACCAAAACCAGTGCAGAGACTGGATACAACTCGACAGCCAGTGTTACACAGAAACCACGTCATTCATTGTAACTGATGTTTAAGCTAGAAGAGTCATAGTGAGGCTGACTGACAGAACTATCTGGCACATGCACAGATGCCTTTGCTGTGTCAGACTACCCCTTGTGCCATGCTCTTCAGCTGTGTTCAGGTTGATGGTCTGCTTATCCTGCTCTATTTCAGTTGAAATAATTTCCCTCAAAGGATATAAGGCAGCACTTTCTGTAAGGGTGTTCCAGACAATGGGAAGGATCTGCTGCATGGAGGACACCATGTGCTTTGGGTAGTTTTTCACAAGTGCTGTCACAGCCTGGAACAAAAGAAAAAAAATCAGTCAGAAGTGAAATGGGGGAAAACCACAACAAACACAGAAAGTACAGGCTGGTGTCTCATTAACAACTGAGACAGCCCAAGGTCTCCTCCCCTCACTTCTGACCCCTCTCTTGCACAAACTCTCACACCTCTTTTCATATTTGGTCTTTTGCAGGGAAGCAAAGAAATAACACAAGATGCACAACAACAAGATGTACAACTCTGGAAATTAAGAGAAAGCAATTATTTGGTGGACAGACTCCAGTCAGAGGAGCAGTGCTGCACAGTACTGTCTGGACACCACCACCACCTGGAAGCTATCTTGTCCTGGAAAATCAACTCCAATATCAAGTGAAAGCAGACCACAGCCTACTTCCCAAGCTTCTACACTTGCAAACAACATCCATTTGCACATCCAGGGAATAGCAGCAGATGAAAACACCCACCCAGAGCAATTCCCTCTCCCATTTCAGCTGCAGACACAGGCAGCTCTGCCAGCACAGCAGCAATAGAGCAGATTGTGCCTGGGCTTTCCTGAAGCTGATCGCCCTGGTTTAGGGGAGCCTCTACACTGACAATTGCCACTTCTGGGATCCTCCAGGAGCCAGCAAATGCTCACTCCCCCTAACAGACACTGTGTCCTCCTGCTGGGACACAGCTCCAGTTATCTTATATGGGTTCCATGTCTCATTGCTAATGAACCCCATGACAGTTTTGCTAAGCTACCTGCCAACACAACCTTGCAAGAAGCACTGCTGGAGTCGTAAGAGAGCTTTTCAGCTCAATAGCTCAGCAGTTCTAACAACAGAAGGCTGCATTTGTGAGTTCTCCACTTTCCTACAGTGCAAGTCTTTAAAAAAAGAGCACTCTCTTCTGTCAAATGTTGTGTTTCAACCCCTGGCCTTTCATCCTGCCAACCTGCACTGGTTGTTTGAATTAAGAGAATTGTTTCACAGATCTCCCCTGTCAGCCCCCACGTACTGCTCCACCATGTATTAAATCTTCTAAGAAAGCCATGACCATCTCCCTTCAAAGCCAAGGTGCTCCCCAAGCAGGATGTTTAATGGCCAAGGCAGGCACATCCACACCTGCCCCCGAGTCACCGCCCAGGCTCACTGAAACCATGGCTGGGGGGGAAGTACCACAGCTCCTTGGACCCCTCCCAGCTGTTCCACAAGCAAACATCCAACCACACCTGCACTCACAGCTTTGCAGCTCCTTAAAGTCACTCTGTATCAAAGTCTCTATTCACTTCCTACTTGTGTCATTAGACAAGAAGGAATCCCCAAATCTGGATAAAAAGCTTGAAGTATCATCTGGCCAGCAGGAGAGGATGCTAAAGCCAAGACCAGCAGGAGTGGAGCAGGGGCAGGTTCTGTGCTTTGTTCATCAGCTTCAGAAATATTCCCCCACAACACTGGCCCCCACCTGGTCTTCCATTCAAGAACAAAGAGGGTAGGATTAATACGATTTTTTGGTGACAATTATATGTTCCAACAGCAGGAAAAATACAAGCATAACTTTTCTGACCTACCTAATATACAGGTGTAAAAACAACAAGGTTTCAGCATGAGTGAAGAAGCACTAAAGCAAAATTCTAACATACTTCAGATTTCTAGTTAATTGGTGCTCTTGATACAATTACTGCATACAGAGCACTCTGTATTTGTATGCCCTTGCTAGGAAATTTGCCTTAACTCTGTTACCTGTCATGTTTAATCACTCTGTTTCTCCCAAAACCATCCAGAGTGGCAGGTTGAACAACAACACTGGAATTAGGATTCAGGAATCACTTAGTTGCAGCTCATTCAACCTCAGAGATATCAATTTAATTCATGCTTAACTATCACACAACAAAATAAATCACACCACTGGCATTTCTAATGGAGTCCTTGTGGTTAAAAATATTTTTGTTGTGGCCAAATCTCCCATCTCCTCCAAGGCACTAACTTGCCTGCTGATAACCGCTTCTGAACTTGTGGCTACACTTGGAAAGATTTGGGACAAATTGACAATCCGTGGTTCACCATGATGTGACCCAACCCTCTTACTCTCCTAAACAGAACTGTCCTGGTGGATCAGGCAGATGTGTACACGCCAGTATCATTTGTTAGAGCTTTGGACACTGTCCTGCATAGTGTTTTTACATGGAAAGCAAGATGTTTTAGGTCAGGGCTGCCTCTCACTGATAGAATCCCACACTGGTTTGGGTTGGAAGGGCCCTTAAAAGATCATCCAGTCCAACTCCCTGCAAGAGCAGGGACACTTCCCACCATTCCAGGCTGCTCCAAGCCCCATCCAACCTGCTCTTCAACACTGCCAGGGATGGGGCAGTCACAGCTTCTCTGGACTCTCTCCAACAGCTCCATGTCCTTCTTGAGTTGGGGTCTCCAGTACTGGCCACAGTTCTCCAGATTTCTAGTGAGAAGTCTATGCATCTCAGGTTACAAAGCTCTCAAGAGACAGGGAAAAAAAATATCTTCCTGTTTTATGCTGCATAGCACTTCATTATAGAAAAAAAAAATTGGATTGAGTTCACATCTGGTTAAAAACATATTATTAAAGAAGCCTCAATTCGTCCCTCCATTGCATCAGCATTTCAAGGGTTTCCTGTAAATGATCTCATCTGTAGAGCTGGCTTAACTAATCCCTTGAGGTCTTTTACTTCTGCATTACAATTACTATAAAATCCACCTTTCTGGAAGGAAAGGCAATTTATGGGTCTTTCACCTCAATCCCTTTTCCCTCAGAAAATTGGTACCATCAGCTTTGAAACCCTGAGTGACAAAATCATGAATTGCACTGAGTCAACAGCCAGAACACTCATCTCTTCACAACAAGCCTCCTACAAACCACTTGTCAGCAGCAGATCTCCTGAATTTACTGTTTAAATCCATACTGACTTGGTGCTGCCATCAATGCCACCCAGCACACAAGATGACACTCAGAGCAAACGCCTCTCTGGTACCACACCTGCCCAGCAGTGCCCCAGAGCTGATGCCCACAAACAGTTAAGGAACAGAGCAAGAACGTGATGACATTTCCTCACTTTTCCAGCCTGTGACACCTTTCAAGAGGCTACTGCTGTGTATCAGTGCAAACATTAAAGTACAAATAGCTCAAATTCCAGTATGCATTGTTATATAACAAAAAAAAAAGTTATTAAAGCTGCAGAGTTTATAAATTTAGCAAGAACAGAAGAAGCAGTCCATGGTTTGAGTGAAACTATTGGTTACAACTGCTTTCCATGTAGGATGAAAAATTCTACTCATTAAGAGTCCGAACGTACATATCTGGAATCAGATTCAGCCACTCTTGAGCTGCAGCCTGTTCCAACTGAGATTACACCCTGCAGAGCATCCCCTTCCTGTCAGCTTTCCTCTTTACTGCTATCCCAGGAATCCCATTGCCCAGCCAGGAGAAAGGAGGAGATATTGCAACAGACACTCTGCTAAAACCTGTCAAGAGCCCAGCCCACACTCCCTTCCATTTGGTGCTGCACAGCAAGGAACAAGCTCCTGTTGTTACCAGTGTATGATACCTGCAAACCCTGAGGAGGGCCCAGGTGCCATAACCAGGGCACTGCTGCCTGTCACAGGACTGACAAAACAAGTTCTGCAACACAGAGCTTTGTACTTGCTAGTTTATTTAACACAACAGCAACCTCCTGAACCTCCTAGAATTCATTTTCATGGCTCCAGCATGAAGCTGGTCATTATGAAAAACTTGACGCTTGTCTTCAGTAATTCTTGCTTACTGTTCTCCTCAGGGAACGTGGCTGAATGGGCCTCAGCCACTCACCTTCAGAAAGGTGTGCACTGTGACCAGGTCTTGCTCAGCCCCGCACATATGCAAGTGAATGAAAGACCTGGGTTTGATTCTGCCACTTGAGCTGTTGAGCTCCTCTCCCCTGCTGCAGGCAGTGCACTCAACAACCTTTCTCTACTGACCTGGTAGAGTTTGGTTAATGGTTGGACTTGATGATCTTAAAGGTCCTTTCCAACCTAAGTGACTCTATGACACAACTGCAGTGCTCTCTCAGCTGTTGAAGGATCTCCATTCTTCACTGCCACTCTCAGCCCCACACACTGAGCTACGGGCACAGAGAGCTCTGTGACCCAATTGTCTTTCTCTGGGAAACAGGGACAACACAAAGACTTTCCCTCTCTTCTGCAGAGACAATTTAGTATTAAAGAGCAGGCAAGTTCTAGAAAAGCACCTGCACATAATAAGCTTTTAAAGTTTCACAGCAGCAAATTCTGTAGCACCTTTAGAAAAGAGACATAATTAACAAGCGAGTATTGTGTCCAAACAAGATGCATCCAAGATGTCCCAGATCAGTGAAAGACAATGACAGATTGTCCTAAGATCAACCCCTGTGGATCATTTTATGGACAGATTCCTGTAGGTCTCATCAAAGGAATCTTCAGGCAGAACAATTTATTTCTATGTGTACGGTGCTGGCAGCCAAAAAACTCCACAACAGAAGCAGTACTAGGAGAGGTGACATAGACTCAAGTTTCTCTGGTTTCCAGCATATCTGACAGTGAACTGGCATTCCATTCCTTCTACATTTAATCAGCCTAAAGTGACTTACCTTTAAGACCTCCATCTTAAACCCACTGTCTGATGTAGGTCCATCAGGCATTTGCAGGGCCTGAACAAAGGCCTCTGTGAACTGCTGCACCACAGGGAAAATCAGGACTTTGGCTGCACCCTGGTCACAAGCAACACAAGCACAACTGAATGTTAGATACAGAACCCCCAGGTCTGACAAGCAAAGCATCAGAAGCAATGGAAATTGCACTTTTCTGCTACAAAATCAAAGGGGGACTCATGGCAAACAACCAAAACGTCAGATGAAATACTTGTTTCAGACATCCCTTTGGCTTTCTCCTCATGCTGGGAATTAAGCTCAGCTGAATCCCACCCTTCAATATGGCACAGCAGAGACTGCTACAAAATACACACCTACAGCTGAGGTAATTGTTCAGCCTGTGGAGAGCCAGACACTCCAGTCTGGAGGATCTCAGCACTGGTGCACAGCCTCCCAAAGAAGCACTTCCACTGGCTCAGGTGAGTCAGGCCTTGCACCCAACCACCCAGAGCCCCCCAGCTACAAAAGACACCTGGGCTAGTGACACCCACAGCAGCAATTACCCTGAGCTCTGTGGGTGGCATTTATCTCCCTCCTGAGTCACCCTCCCCCAGACCAAACAAGCTTTGTGAGCTAAGTATCAACAGCTGGCCTGGAGATTACCAGAAGGATTCTTCCTAGTAAAAGGCAGGGCGTATTTTTCCAGATGTCAAAGCACTCCATAAGCAGTGCTTGGCAGAGCAATACTGGACAAAAATGACTTTATTGAGAATATTTCTCATAACTTCATAGCTAAGACAGCAAAGTTGTATATTTAAATCAACTATGAAATACTACTGTAGCAATTTATAAAAAGATTGTCACTTTTTAAAAGTAGAATTTCAATAGAAAAATTGTGTATCCAATGTAAAGGACACTTTCAGCCCCCCTCTAGAACCAGGCAGTGGGAAGCTACTAGTATGTTTTTGGATGTTGGCACCAGCTGCATGATATTTGTGCCTAAGTAACCTTGTCAGCGCAGGGGAGACTCGATGTCTTTATCAGAGCTCCCCAGAAGCCTGCACTGAACTGCTGCCTGTGTACACAGGGATGGAACAGCCGATACAGACACTCACTGAAGACCAGCCACTAGACTGAGTCACCTTTTGCTATCCTCACCCTCAAAGAACTTAAAAAGGACCATTTATGGTCTAGGGAGTGCTGGGAAATCCACTTGCTAAAGGCCATATAAAATGCAAATATGCTCAGAGCCAGACAGGAGGCTCATGAGTATAAAGCTGCTTATCTGCACAGGTTGTTTTTTCTTAACACCTATTCTTCTAAAATTTTCTTTGCTTTGGTTTGGTTTCCACCTCCCCATTAGGAACAAAAGGCTAACATGATAAAGAAACTGCTAAAGTTCCAGAAGTTTGTAACCATTGCCTTGCACTAGGGTAAGAAAACTGCCCATCACAATGCAGACAGACAAGGCCCAGCAGTTTACCAGGACACAGGGGTCACTTGGAGACTGGAAGCTCTGACAGGGGTTTCCACACCAAGGGATGATAAACCATCTCCTCCCCACCATGACTCCCCTTTTCTGAGCTGTCACAAGCACGTAGTTGGTATCTCACAGGTTTAACTTAATGACGGGGCCCAGGGCACAGTATCAGGGCATGCATGTAAAGGAGGGAATCAGTCCCTTGGCATGTCTTAAATTACACCCTCTTCCCCAGAATTACACCTGACAGAGCACGTAACCCTCCAAGAGTTCATTTTCATATAAACAATTATTTAGCACCTTGCTGAGTGCGAATGCAATGTATGTTGTAGGGTAAGTCAAACTCTTGCCTTTTCCAGTTCCTCCATGTTGCAGATCATATGGGCACACGTGGTGAATATCTCCACTGCACGTGACCTTGTGCGAATGCCATAGACCTGGGAAGGAGTTTAAACAACAGATCAGGAACACAAAATACTTTTACTCCCTGTAACTTTCAATTGTTTTTTGTTTTAACTTGATTCTCTTATTTTATAATTTCTATTGAAACATGAACTGCCACCAACTATCACATCATCAAGAAAATTCTTTTAGTCTGACTCACAGTGCAGAACAGTTTGACAACTAAAACCAGAGCTTCTCTGCCTCAAGCATTCCCACCAATACCATTCAGTTCCAATTTCATAGTGAAGATCATACCTCTGCCATTGTGAAAATTTTGTACATCTCTGGAAGAATAACAGGGGCAACAAGTGGCATCTGTGTGTCTGTCACTTCCCGTGTGAACTCTGAAAAATGGGGAAAGAAGGGAAGGTCTTCTGAAAAAACAAAGTTGTAGGGAACAGCAACAACAGAATCTTTGCCAACCAGTACTGCTGGAAACACACAAGATTTGTACTTGACTAGACCAGTGTCATCTGGCCTACCCGTGGCAATCCCTGAAGGCAAACAGAAAAATATCACACTAAAAACTGCAGCTATCTGGAAAACAGGGTTTTGCATAGAAGTTCCTTCTGAGCTACTGCAGCACAGAACCCTCCTCCACAGCTTCCCTGAGCTGCTGAGCGTGCAACTCAGTAAGATCCTAAGGTAGGGAAAAGCCTAAACCTCTTCCTACCCCAGCCTGGCCAAGGCAGACGTACCTGTGAGGACCCTCATGGCTCCATGCACAGCGTTCACATCTCCACTAACCAGCATCTCCATCAGGAGGTTGAAGAGCTCGGGCCAGGCCTCAGGCCAGTCCCAGTGGGCGATGGCGGACACGGCGTAGGCGACGCTGGAGCGCACCTTGCTGATGGATTCCCTCAGCCCGTTGGGCAGCAGCTCCCTGATAGCAACTTTTGCCTGCAGAGAACAACATTATCTAGCAAAAAAGATGCCCAGTTCTAAAACAAAAGAAAATGGATATACCTATCCTATCCTGATAGGGGTTCAGCATTGGTTTTACAAATGAACACTCAGACAACAAAATCTTGCAGACTCCACCATGGAATGTTTTTTATGGAAAAGTGCACAGGGTGTTGTAATGTAGCACTGCCCTCGCACAGAGCACTGGGCCAAGCACACAATAAACAGCTCACAGCTGCAGTTAGATAGGATGTAGGTATCTACCTGGCAGACAGCCAGAGATAGCCAAGATAATTCCCAGCTTCATTGTCAGGGATATTTGCTTGCTTTGGAAGATTTTAAGAAAACTAGTCACCCAACCCTGAGGGGACAGAAAAAAAAAGCCAGCGCTTCTAAGGCATAATTCACAAGATCTATTCCAAGCAACTGCCTCTGGATGGGATCAATCATACCCTAGATGTGAAAGATGGTCCAGTCAATAGTCAAAGGGACAAAGGACTGGAATCTCTGGCCATTTTAGCTGTTAGATTATTCCAATTAACAGATTTTGAATGAAACCCACCAGAGCTTTAAACTGAAGTTTGTCATAGGAAAACAGCCTTTAAATTTTAGCAAAGCTCTGAAATGGACTGCCAAAATCAGTATTTGTAAAGCTGAGAAAGCAGCTTTCTTCTAGTCTTGCTCTTAGAGCAGCAGAAACGTTATGGCTGAACTTTTCCTACAGGAATTAGCCCCAGCTTCAAGTCTAGTGTTGTTTTAAGCAACTGAAAACAGATTTCTGAAGTGGAAACAGCAGAAAATCTTCACTGAAGCCATTCATCCTCACAACAGGACAAGAGCACTGTCACTTTTTAAACCACCTACACAATTAATATTCCTGATGGACAAGGTGTCTCAAAGTAGACAACATGAGACCAAATCTTACCCTTTCCGTGGTCTCTGGAGGTCTAAACTTTTCTGACTGGGAACACCAGTGAGTTTCCACATACTGTTTCAAAATGACAGATGCCAGCTGTGTCAGAAGAGAGGTCAAGAATCAGTAACAAATCCTGCAACCACAGCAAGTGTCACCCCTGGCCCATTTGCTCAGCCTCCTGTTACACCAAGCTGCTTTCAGAAGGCAGAGTGGGCTTGCCAAAAATGCAAAATCTTTGTGAAAGGGACAAAAAGGCTCCTGCAGAAAAAAGATGAAGTGAGGACCATTCATTGAGCAATGATGGTCTGGATAGCACTGACATAAGGCAGTAGCTTTATTTCCTTATCTCTAAAAAGGCACAAGATACAGACCACGTGGTAACTAAAGAAATACAGAACCCAAACTTCCTTTTCAAGGAGGAAAACAAGTATAGAAAAAGCTGCTGCAGAGACAAGCCACACTTCTGCTTGCTGATGTCTGCCATCCATCTAGTAAGTTGTGCTGTCTCAGCACCAGGCTTATTAAGTCAAAAAAGCACTATTTTCAAAACAGGTAAGTGTATAACATCTGAATAATGCTGAAAGAGAAAGTAGCAACTCTAGAGAGATATAAAAGAAATGGAGAAGCTGTAATGAAATACTACCTCAAATTTTTCACTTGGAAACATGAGAGAATATCTGAAGAGCCAAAGAACTGCCATCAAAATCCCTTTTACAGTTGCAGGGAAACTCACCTGACGGATGGCTAGAGCTCCCTGGGGATCTACAGTCAGTTCTGCTAAATGAACACCAAATTCTGCAAAGAAAATATAAAAGAAAATGCTGGTATCATAACTTTCATTCCCACACTCATCAAGATTTTTGGAGAAAGACATCATAGCAGTTCAATGACTCATATGTAGGAAGGAGACAATTCCAAAGCACAGCTACTCAAATGAATCATGAACATTAATACTCCCTTGTGCCTTCTGCACAAACTTCATTTATTTTCTCAGCAACTTACTTCTTCCTCTTGTGATCAAAACATTTTGCAATTCAGGTTAATAACAAGCAAATTATTTACAACTTTAAAAAAAGAAATATTCTCTACAATGCAACATTGTTACTCAAGTACCTACATGAGGGATGCATGAATAAGACCCAAGATGGAGTAAGACTGTCAGCCAGCAGTCCTTTTTTGGACTAGCTGGGTTCATCCATAGAGTGATTTGGATCCCTTCAGCTGTCCCAAACCACACTGAGACTGCTCAGGACTCGCCAAGCACCTTCCTGAGGAAACCCTGCCTGAACACACTGACACCAGGAATTGCCTGTAAATCACTTGGGCTGTGGGACCTTCTCCAGCAAGAAATTTGTCCAGAAAAAGCAAGAGCCTCCTCTGGTTGCCAAGCAAGTTCTGTAACAAAGGCAAGATTAAAACCTTTGTACAAATTCTGTTGATGACTGAGCACAGGAAATAAAAAACAGGAAGAGCAGTGTAAATCCATAAGCCTTGATAAATTTGCTTAAAATTGCTGTTTTCATTTCCAGGTAGCTGATAACTGTACTAAATACTTAATTTAGTTCCACTAGTCTGCTTAAAGAAATGCATTTGTGAGGTTTTAGTTGCAGCAACTGTAGAGCAGAAGTTGTGCCCCAAGGTCCTGCTAGCACCACTTGAGTCCCACAGCCAGAAAAAACTGCTTACAGCATCCCTGTCTAAAAGGTATTGAAAATTCTTCTGACCAAGAGTTCTGCTACATGCCTTGACAGCATCTTCAGGTGCTTCACAAATGTGGTTATCTCAGTTTCTTCTAATATTCACCTCAAGTAAGAGGCCTTTCTGTCTTGGCAGATAATTGCCTCTCACTTTCCCATGCTTATAGTGAACAGGCCCAGTTTCTTCAACCTTTCTTTAGAGATCATGCATTTTAAAAAGAGGAGAAAAAAACCGCTTATTCTGGCTGCAAAAGGAGGGAGCCTCACTCTGCAATGTACTTAACATACTACTTCTCTTAACTGTAGCAGTAATTATCCTGCTAGTCTGCAACATTCTAGACTTGAACAGGGCATCACATTTCAGTCACATTTTTAAAGGGTATAAGTTAATTAGAAAGCCAGAATAAATGCAATAGCTTCACATACCTGCAGCTCACTAAGATTTTATTTCACAGAATCCTAGAATTGTTAAGGTTGGAGGGACCTTAAAGATCATCTAGTTTCACCCCCCTGCCATGAGCAGGGAACCACCAGACCAGGCTGCACAAAACCTCGTCCAGCATGGCCTTAGAAACCTCCAGGGATGGGGCATCAACAACCTCCCTGGGCAACCCATCCCAGTTCCTCACCACCCTTAGAGTGAAGAGTTTCTTCCCAATATCTCACCTAAATCTCCCCTCTCTCAGTTCAAAACCATCGCCCCTTGTCCTGTCACTGCCCTCTCTGGTAAAAAGCCCCTCCTCAGCTTTCCTGGAGCTCTTTCAGGCACTGGAAGGTGCTCTAAGGTCTCCCTGGAGCCTTCTCTTCTCCAGACTGAACACACCAACACTGTCAGCCTGTCTTCGTAGCGGAGTTGCAGTCTTTAAATCTGTTTGCATATATTACGCACATTCGGGTTTTTTCCCTTCACATACAGTAGCTTTACACTGCACTTGATTTACAGTATTTTCTTTAAAGGATTTTAGGCCATCTCCAATTTTTCAACATCTGTTTAACTCAGCTCTCCAAGCAGCCTGCAGTGCCACCACTAGAAGTGCACTTACTGCTGCAGTGACCAAGAGCTTTTGTCTTAAAAGCCCCTCGGGTTTGACAATAAGCCACTGATCACAGCTCCACACACAGGTTTCCAGCCAAGTGTGCATCTTAAAAATACGACAAAACTCTTTTCTCTTAACTGATAAACAACTGGC